GTGAAAATAAATAAATAATTTTTTTTTTTGCCATTCTAGAAAAAAAAAAAAACCAACGAAATCAATTTGAAAAAAAGTTGGAGCTCGTTTTATTTAAGTGTCATCCTAGAAAAGATGGAACATTTGGTCAATGGCAAGAATGGTTTGATTAAAGAATTTTTGGGAATCCTTACAGTTGGCGTGCATTGTGACGGTTTGAAGTGCATATTCAAATTGTTTTGTACCCGACTGATATAGTCATTAAGAATTTCATCACAAGAATGGGGATTTTTTTTTCTTACGGTGGTTCCTTTTGAGGAAAGTTTTATGGTTGAACATGTCTACTATAAGTTCTTCATGGAAATTATTTGTTACGGTATTAGAATATTTGATATGTCAGGAGGTAAACGTTAAACGAAAGTTTGTTTTTTTAGGTGATTATAGCAAATGGGGCTATGTGTTAACACAATAGTAGCTATGGGTGAAATGTTTGAGATCACGTATGTGGATTCCTTACAGGTTGGTTAAAGTCGTCATTGTAATGAGTACCTTGAACTGAAAATGAGTATGGTCAACCACAAGGGTGGTGCCTGATTGGTTTGAGTTTGGCTCCAAAGGTCAAAAGTTCCAGGAGGTCTTAGGTTCAAATCTGAAGGTTCAAATGCCCTTGTGGCCATGGAGGTTCAAATGCGGTGACTCCAGGTTATCTGCAAAGCAAGTGGTCGCCCTGGGATTAGTCGGCTCGCATAGCGGGTTGAATATCCAGGTTAATATAAAAAAATGAGTATGGTCGATTTTGATTGTATCGGTTTTTGCAAGGATCATTGTAGTTTTGAGTGCAATAGAGAAGTATGTCATGGTTCAAGAGATGATTGCTATAAAATTTTAAGAATAAACTTGTGATCAGGCAGTGTTATTGAAGTAAACAATTGAGGCCATAAACTATTTTTGAAATGGTAAGAGCCTCTCAAGGTTGGGAGATAACTGAGGTATTTTAATCGAATACCTTGATAAAAACAGGGTCTTAGTGTTCACATGCGGGAGTGGTGTATGGTAATGAAGTTTGACGTTGATTGTGGTGCTAATAGTCATGGAACTCGTTGTATCAAGTTTGACAAAGAAGCAATTGAGTCCAGATTAAGGTTGGTTCGGTTAGAGGCCCTCCCTTAGAAAGGAGCCAACCAGTTTGTTAAGTGGTGATTATTCAGGGACTATATTATTGGATCATTATCCTAATTAGAATGACTAAATAACAAGCCCCCTCGATGGACTTGTGCTATGGGTTTTGTAGTGTTTTGAGCCATCTCATGTATCTCGTATGGCTCAAGTGCCTTGTTGGAAAATGGGAGAACGCTTGGGTTGAAGCTTGTTTGATTCGGGGAAGGACCGAACCATGGAGGACCAAGCGATCCCATTAAGTTTGGCATTTGAGTGTGTGACCTGTACTATATTTTGAGGACAAAATCTTTTTCAAAGTTGGGAGGATTGCAACACTCGGATTTTAGTACGTATATTTTGGGGTTTTAATCTTTGACTTTAGAATAAATCTTAATTGATACCTTGAAATGATTATGCTTGGTGCTAAAATGTTAAGAAAACTCATTTTTGGACATCAATTCTTCAAGCCTGTGAAAGGGGCCTTCACACCCGTGAAGCGGGGCAGGACAGGGGACTGACCTGTAGATGGCTTAAAAATCATTTTTTGGGGGTTTCTTTATTTGGTCAAAACTCTCTCATTTCTCATCCGCTTGAGGCCATTTTGGTTATAGTTTCATATTTTGAAGCTCTTAAAGGGGAGAACAAACAAGATTAAAGTTTCTTTGATGATTTGGGGTTCCTAGAAGTTGAAAAGTAAGCTCCTAACCAACCATTTCTTAACCTACGATTTGGTTCTTTGTACCAACAACTCTCATTCCTTCTTGGGTTTTCTTTATATTTGTTTTGTGAGTAAATGAGGTGTTCTTGAAGAATTTGGATCATAGATTCGGAGTTGTAGCTTGAGGATTTCAAGTCTTCACCAAATGAAGCTCAAGATTTGTAGTAAAACCTACATTTAACATAAATCTAGCAAGGTGAGTTCAAATTGCTTTGTGAAACTTTGTATATGCCAAAAATGTATATATTTAAAGTCTTAAAGTGTTATCCCCGAGATTTATCAAATGTTGTTGGTTACTTGATGAAATTACATCTTTTGCACATTTGGTTTTATAAAATATTGAGAAGTACATATATTTGGGGGGTTTTGGAATACGTTGATAATAAATGATAAAGTGTGTAAATTTTGATGATTTATACCTCATATGGGATTATATAATGTTAATACACTTTCAGGATTTGATTCTATAAATCAATTGAAAAATGCATATAATTTGAGTTCTGTTGGGTTCTATAGTGTTTTCGGCCATGAGACTTGATAAAACTATTTGAATGTATTTTGGGATTTGTGATGAATCAATTATGGTTAGCTAAACAAATTGAAGAGCTTATTGTCTTGTATTTGAACATATATTTGATTTGGGATTTTGTCCAACTTTTGAGTTAATAATGATGATATTCAAACCACTTGGTATATAGGTTGCATACACATTGGGTATTCACATTTCATTGGTTTGGTTTCGACTCAGATGAGTTTTAGGGACTTTTGTCCAGTTTAATCTGCTCAGTGTTGAGCGTTGGAACATGATATGCAGTATGCCATATTTATTTGGAATTATATCTTTTGAGTGTGTAGTCATTCAACTAGAGTGATGTAACTAGATTGTAGTGTAATGGATCCATAAGCATAATAGTTTGTTTTGTTGGTTTAAAATGAGAGGGTTATTCCCATATTGGGGCTAGAAATAGACATTGGGTCATTGGGGAATTATGGTTCGGGCTTTTGGAGTCGGACATAGGCCCTTGACCACACGGTGTAATTTATGAGTCAGTTTGATGGTTTAAAATGGTATGTTTGTTCCCGTATTATAGTTAGAAATAGGTTTGGGTCATCAAGGATATCGTGATGCGAGCTTATTGAGTCGAACCACGACCATTGACCATATGGTGTAATTTTAGTGAAAGAGCATATCTTAGATCATGGGGGGTCCTAATGCGAGGTATAAATCATGAGTGGTTGAACTTGATGACCATTGATCTGTAGTGAGCTCATTAACTTGACATATGACTTACTTTTGTATTTGTCACATTTAATGGATACGGGTTTTCCTCCGTCACCAAATTGTGTTATTTTGGATAGTGTATTATTCATGTTTTCAGTGTTGTTTTGGAATGACGCGTATCCATAATTTATTGTTTTGTATCTTGAAACTTATTAATGTTTTGAGTATTTTGGATAATAGAGTTTTATCCACGTTTTCAGTATTCGAACATTTAATCTCATTTACATTTTGGGTCAGTATTGAGCTTTAGTTTCATGATATACTAGTTGTATACCCGCGCAATATGGCGGGAGCCTTGAATTTTAACGATTTTGAAGTTTCACTGGTTTTATTAGAGAAGATTTAAAGATAATATAAGTTACACTTGATCTTTACATATTAATATAATTTGAATAAATAAAAGTTATTGTTCCAACTACAGTCTATCGATAAAAAAATTGTATAACAGTTTAAAATCTAATATATTTAAAATCCAACATATTTAAATAACTCAACAAATGTGTTCAATTTACAACAAGAGCAAAGAATCAAGAGATCGAGAGCGAGACCGAGAGTTCTAGAGCAATTGAATGAGAGATGAATGAGTAAACTTTTAAAAACTCATGGTGAATATTAGTTTGAATCTCATATTGGGATGAAGAGAAGACATAGAGGTATGAGAGGGTGAAGACATGATTGAAATGTGTTAAAAGTATATTGGGAACATGAAAAAAAAATGTAATAATGTGTATAAAGTAGTAGTCGTATTTAATGTATTATGAGTTGTTTTTAGGGAAAAGTACAATAAAAACCAATGAACTTTCTTGTTTGGAATGATTAAGTCCTTGAACTTTTTTTTGGAACAAATAAGTCCTTGAACTTTCCAAAACATGTTAAATAAGTCCTTGAACATTCCAAAATATGTTAAATAAGTCATTGGACAATTTTTGGAACAAATAAGTCCTTGAACATTTCAAAAAATGTTAAATAAGTCATTGGACAATTTTTGGAACAAATAAGTCCTTAAACAATCCAAAACATGTTAAATAACTTTTTGAAAAATATAAAGTGGTAAAATAGTGAAAAAAATCCGGAAAAAAACCCAATGAACATTCATATTTTGAACGATTAAGCCCCTAAATATTTTTTGAACCAAAAAGTATTTAGATCTATAAAATTAAACAAATATAACAAAAAAGTACTTACATTTACAAAAAAATAATTACCATTTTAACTAGTTGTACAAGTCATTAGAATGTATCCAACATGTTTTATAAAAGTTCAAGAAGTTATTTAACATGTTTTGGATTGTTCAAGGACTTATTTGTTCCAAAAATAGTCCAAGGACTTATTTAACATTTTTTAGAATGTTTAAGGACTTATTTAATATATTTTGGAATGTCCAAGGACTTATTTGTGCCAAAAAATTGTCCAAGGACTTATTTGTGCCAAAAAATTGTCCAATGACTTATTTAACATGTTTTGGAAAGTTCAAGGACTTATTTGTTCCAAAAAAAAGTTCAAGGACTTAATCATTCCAAACAAGAAAGTTCATTGGTTTTTATTGTACTTTTCCCTTGTTTTTAAGACTTTGTACATAAATGTATAATACTTTGTACATTAAAAATTATTTTTAAAACTTTTAATAAATTTAATTTATAAGGTAGTATAGAGGTGTTTTGATAAATGCACGAAAATGGTGGCAAAAAAGACAAGTTATCGTTGGTGGCAAAAAACACGGGCCCAAAAAACATGGGCTTCATGTATTCCGTACAGATCCAGATGTCTCCTTATCCGATTCCGATCCAAAATCCAAAATCCAAAATCCAAATCCCGAGAGAAGAGTAAAGTCTCTTGCCCCCCAAAACTCCGAATTCAGTTTCAATGGCGGGCATCACATTGACCTATGTCCCTCTCAGGAACCCTCTTCTTCTTTCTGTTTCTCCCAACATTAGCAGTCTTTCTATTAACGTTCCCAGGAGAAGACCACCACAACAGCATTATTGCCAATGCATCATCGACTCTAATTCATCAACCAACGCCATCACCACCGGTGCTGGTGATGATATCTTTTCCGTTAATACTTCCTCTAACGAATGCGACTTCGATTATCTTGGCCAGAGCACCAAAGGCGATTTGAACCTCAAATACGGTAGCTATTGTTCCATTTTTCGACTTGGATTGTTTATTGCAGTTACCATATTTTATAATTGAAACATGGGCAACTCGATGTTAATAAATTTGAATTATATGAGTTCCATCTTCAGACCTTTGATCCTTGTTCCTCAACACTATATATGTTTGCGTTGTTCATTATTCGATCACCCTTTGCCTACATCATCATGTGATGTGATTTTTTCTAAACTACCCGCGAGTTATTCTTAGAGCACTACCAGTTTTTTCTTTACTTACAACACTGGCTTCCCTTTTTCTTACATGTCTATGGTGTCTTGAGGCAGGGATAAATGGTCAGGCAGATATTGCATGGAGAGGTCCAATAGAGGAGGTTGCCAAGATTGAAGCCAAAGAAGCCGAGGGCTTGCTCAATGACCTAGGAATACAGGTTTCCGTTGCTTTTTAATTATTCATTTCACTGGTTTTGACTTCAACATGCTGTTCCAAGTTTTTTCCTGCTACTTTGCATTAGTAATCACAGACCATTCAAGACAACTCCTTGCATTATTGGTTTAGTTCTTCCTGACATGATTCAAATAAGTTAAGATTAATGCTTTAGACACTTTCTTTCAAATTCTTTCTTATGCTGAAATTGAGTGGCTAGTTATCCTCCCTTTGCTCACAACTGTAGACGAGCTCAAGCAACACAAAAATGAGCCTCAACATGGTTTTCTGAATAAAGCTTTGTATAATGCTATTCCTTGCTTCAACATACTTGATGCTCATTTCTTATTGCTGTTTTTTTTATGTTTTTCTGAGCACCTTGTTGATATATGAACAGTGTGAGAAATGAGAAAGGAGTTTTACTGTTGCCTGACAGTTACTATACTATGAATCCTGTGTAGGATCCATCTTCTTCGAGACATTCTCCACGTGGCATATTTTGTACGCGCACATTGAATCTTCGGTCAATCAGTGCAATCGGATATGACATGGATTACACTTTAATGCATTATAACGTCATGGTAATTGATACTTCACATTGAGACCATATAGATATAGCTTTATTGTTCAAGTGGTCCAAGAAAAAAGTCAAGTGCCTTAATACTTCATTTAGTTTCACAGTGTTCCTTCCATTTTATCCCCTATGGGCCATTGAGACTTGATATTACCAAGTAGTGAATTTTCTTTTTGCAAGTAAGTAAGTAACTTTAACTTACGAACTTGAAGGCTTGGGAAGGACGGGCTTATGACTATTGCATGGAGAATCTGAAAAAAGTCGGTTTTCCTGTTGATGGACTTGCTTTTGATCCCGACCTGGTAATTGTTTATTTTTGTGCAAGCTAAATTTCTCATGATACACTAGTGGTTATGATTTCTGCTTTTGAAACTTTTCTTGGTCCATTGTTCTAATAGGTTATCAGAGGACTAGTCATAGATAAAGAGAAAGGCAACCTGGTTAAGGCTGACCGATTTGGTTATGTGAAGAGGGCTATGCATGGCACAACACTGCTATCTACCCAAGCTGTGAGGTGTGGCTTTAACCTTATTATCTAGCTTATCGCGATAATAGAATAACTGAACTGCTTATTATATCTAGGTAGAGACTAGAGACACAGACGACGTAATTATTTTTCCTGTTTATTATCAAGTGGAAAATGGAGTCGCTCATGCATCTCTCATTATGAAGTTGTAGCTCACCTAGGATTTTGTTTATTTATTCCTCACGTTTATTTTTCTTGTAAGCTTCTTGTTAGCTGAAGTTGGATCAAATTTTTTGTTTCGCTTCTTAATTTTCTGTGCATGAAGCGAGATGTATGGGAGGGAACTCGTGGATCTGCGCAAGGAAAGTCGATGGGAGTTTCTCAATACACTATTCTCTGTTTCAGAAGCTGTGGCATATATGCAGGTATGCTGTTCCCTTGATCTGAGCTTTTGTATACTTCTGCATTGTTTTTTTTGGCTTGTATCTGTGACTGTCGATGTTATGGTACTGAACTTTGGCTCCATTTTAAATGGTTCAAATTTTGTGCATGTACCTGCTACATACACCCACCTGTTCTCTGGCCCACGACATTGTCCACAGCTGCTTACAAATGGTGTAGGCATTAGAGAAAAAGTAGGAGAAGGATGTCCAGTTGTTGTTGTCATTGTATGCCGTTAAAACTTTCAAATGACTAAACATTATTCCCTCATCCCAAAAAGTGTCCTTTTTGTTGTGCGGCATCTTCTATAAGTGGCATCTTTCCAATCTGAGAAAAATAAAATGATTTTTAATGTTGTACTCTAATTCCCTATATGTGCTATCTTAATGAGCTTTTCGGGAATTTCTTAGAATACTTTTGAGGCTTCCAACAATTGGCTTATGCTACCATGCATATTTTTGACAAGAACATAGAGGAAACTAGATAGAACACACATGCGTTCTGGCACATCATGCCTCTATAGATGTAATATTACACCTGATCACTTTTCTTTGGACATCTGATAGAATTACTCTATCACGGACTTGCATCAGCCGTCACCATATAAATTGAGAGAATGAGGTATTTCAGGAGTTAGGAGTTGCGGTCATCACAGATAAATTGAGAGAGGGGAAATTACGATGGCTAGCAATTTAGGTTACCAAACACCTATGTTGGAGAGAAGGATATAGGGATGTGTTTTTTTGTTACTTGTTCTATACTTGTATCCGTGTTTCGTCTTACCTTACCTTTTTTATGTTCTCAGTGTACCCATGCGTTGCTTTTTTGTACTTATTTTTTATCGTTCTATGTATACTGTGTGCTAGCTGTTGTTCCTTCTGCTTGTTTGGTAACACTCCTGCACAAGCCAGGGGATTTTCACGGGAACAATTGCTCTTCTCTTTGGGGTAGAGGACATGTCTGCATAATTCTCAGACTTCCCACCCTATTCGAGTGGGATTTACTGGGTCAGTTTGGTTTGGTCTGTGACTTGCATCAGCCAGAAATTTGATGATAAAAAAAAGCGACAAAAAAGCAATTCAGGATCCTGGATGGAAGAAACTCTAATTGTGTTGCAAGTCACATTGATCTAAACTTCATTATGTCTTGGTTCCATTTTTGAGGATGGTCTTCTTTAAAGGTAGGAAAGCCAGTAGGTTGTATTTGCCAATTACTTAAAGAAGAAAAAAGATCTTGTAGGCTGTAGCAAATGAAGAACACACCAGGAGGTGATTCCAAGTTAACTTCCAATGAAAATACCACTAGAGCTGTGGTTCTTATTTCACAAACTCGTGTTGATTAAACATGTATTTTTGCCTTTAAACTTCGGTTGATTGGTGAAGAAATAAAACTAGCATTTGGATGATCCATTGTTCTTGTATTTCAGATGGTTGATAGATTTGATGAAGGGATTATTTCACCAGATCTTGGTGTAGTTGATTACAGAGGGCTTTACAAGGCAAGAAGAGCCAAATTTAATAGACTTTTTTATGTTGCTGGCTAAATTTATTTGTGTGTGAACTTCCACCAATCTATGAATTTTTCTTTGCTTCAGGCTGTTGGTAAGGCCCTCTTCAGGGCTCATGTAGAAGGTCAACTGAAGGTAAATGTATAGTTGATATAGGTCTTGAATAGTGGGATTCAATGGCATTAATCTTTCAACGAATTATGTACAGAGTGAGATAATGTCCAAGCCAGAACTGTTTGTAGAGCCTGATCCAGAGCTACCTTTAGCACTTCTGGACCAAAAGGAGGTATTTCCTATTAATCTCCTTCAAGGGTTTTAACCGATTCACATAAAATGTTCCAAAGTGTTCTGTTTTTTATCTCACCAGGCTGGTAAAAAGTTATTGCTGATCACCAACTCGGATTACATCTATACTGACAAGATGATGCGACATTCTTTTAATAGATTTCTCCCAAATGATATGAACTGGCGAGATCTATTTGAGATGGTTAGTCAAGCTTCATGCGATCCACCTTTGACTTCCTTTTTTCTTTTCTTGGGGGAGGGGTCGTTACGTGATCTTTGGAAAGAACAGAGACCTCTTTTACTTAAAAGATGATATAGCTTGCTTTATATTAGTTGAGAGTGCTACCAAGTTAATAAGTTATACATGTTGCAGATTACCTCAACCAGGAAAAAGTACTTCTACTAAGTGTTTGTGTTTGTGGAATCTCTATGTTCAATGTAGGTTATTGTCTCTGCTAGGAAGCCAGAATTCTTTCAAATGTCACACCCTTTATATGAAGTGGTGACTAACGAGGGCCTGATGCGGCCATGTTTCAAGGCTCGTCCAGGTGATATAATCATGTTCTTTTTGGTATTAGATTTTGAGTAAATTATAAAACATCCCTGGACCACTACAGAACCTGTACCTTTAATCCAACAGATATTATTCTTTTTTAACTTTCCGTCAATCCTCATTCGGTTACTGTTAGTTTAATTCATTTAAAACAATTGTCACCCACAGATGATGAGCATAATTTATGTTTCCGTATTTTAACAGACATTACATTTTGTTTCTTTCCCTTCCCCATTCCCCTATTTCCCATTCCCCTGCCCTTCTTCTGGCAGTAAATGTCATTGAGTCACCAACCTTATGCCTTTGATGGTGACTTTTAGCATCCCAACCAAAAAGAAAAAGAAAATCAGAAACTTCAATTTTGTAAACATAGAATGCAACAATCACACCAAAATCAATATGGCATTTGATTAAAATCCTGAGAAATAATTGAATACGTTGAATATCACTTCTTTTAGAATAGATTGAGAAACTTCTCTTATAAATTGGTCTTGGTAGACACTTTCATGGGTCCTGCCAACAATGTGACCATATCAATCAGATGAAGCTGAAGCTGGGAGATGGATTTGATTCGGATTTCCTCTTAGACGCTTCCACCAACTTGGCTGAGGCTGTGCTTGGAACTTTTCTCAGATTTTGGTGGCTGGAGATGGATTTAGATGAGGGGAAACTTCTATTTTGTATGATGACATCTACATCCAGTAGGCTATCATCATCACTACTCATGGAGACACCAAAGTTGAAGGCTCAAGGCGCACTTAGGCGCAAAGGGTTCCGGGGCCTAGGCGTGAGGAGTGGGCCTCAGGAATGCGAGGCGCATCTTATCAAAATAATATATATATATATATATATATATGTATGTATGTATGTATATGTACACACACAGTTACATACAACTCAAATATCCAGCAAGTACAAGCCTCTAATACAGCAACCAGCAGTACTTCGATAGAGGGAGAAGGGTTTAAAGCATGAGCCGTGAGGTCTATGCAGTTAATGGTGCGCTATAGCGGCGAAATAGCGGTCCTGGCCGAAATAGCGGTCCAGGAATAGCGGTGTATTATAGCGATACCGCAAATAGCGGCCGCTATTACCGCTATTGACCGCAATTTTGTTACAAAATAGCGGTTGGGCTCTTTTGGACTTCTTTTTTTTAATTTAAATTCTATTTGGGCTTTTCTTTTGTCATTTATGTGGGCTATTTAGAGTCAAACTTAGGCCTGCAAACAAAAAGGATACATATTAAATCAACAATAGAAACAATTAGGTCAAACTTTGGTATCTATTCCAAGTCCAAAGCTCTGCTCTTCGATTGCCGAGTCCAAATAGCTTCAACAACTCGAGTTTTCTTCTCGATTCCACGGTTCCACGGGTTTTGTGCTGGATTTTTGTTGCAGTTTTCTTCTCGACTCGACAACACAACTCCTGCTTACTCTATTACTATGTTGCTTGTGTGGTTTGAATTGTTTGACTTGATATGTATTAGACATACAATATTTTAAGTTTTATATAGTCGTATTTATTTTATGAACATAATTTTTTACTGCTATATCGCCGCTATATCTCCGCGATAACTGCTATTTCAAATCAAGATCCTGACTGCTATTCCCGTAATTGACTGTGTTAACCGCTTATAGCGTGAGGTAGAAATTTTAAGTTTTGGGTATTTATTGAGAAGGATGCTTGAAGTTCTAAGGACCGGATATTTGATATTAGGGTTTGACTTATATCATCTATTTAATAACTCTTTTTTTTTTTATCAAGTCTAGGAGATCAGAAGATGAGAGAACTTATTAAATATTAGGGTTTGACTAGGTATTTAGTAACTTCTTATGAGGTGTGCCTATGCTCACAAGGCACCTCAGCCAAGGCGCATCGCCTTAGTGAGCCTCGTGAATATGCCTAGCCTCGACTTAATAAAAGCCCAAGACCTTGAGCCTTAACAACTGTGGGAGACACAATAATCCTCTAGCTCCATTTTCATTGGATCAACCTATGTTTGTGGGAACTCAATTTGATGTGCTTGGGAAAAGATTTTAAAGACTATATGCCTTTGTGTTTGTCTATTTGGTAGGGAAGAGGCTTGGGGAGTGGAAGAGGGAAGGTGATATGGGGGAGCAAGGACATATGGGTGGGGTAGGGCAGGGTGGAGAAAAATGGTTGGTTGTTATTTTAAATATCTGTGTAGCCTGTAAATAGTAGTCTGTGTGTGAACATTTTGGTAAATTTTGGTTATGTTAACAAGGGAAGGATCACTATATTAGGATATTCTTGATCTAATGACCAAAAGTTTTAAATTATAGGTTGGGCTAAAACTGCACATTATGTAACATTCCAGTTGATTTTCGTAATTTTCTCTGGCTTCTTATATATGTAAATTAGAGATTAAAGTTCGATCAAATAAGCTGATGGGCACACAACAGACTGTTCCTTCTCCATCTTAAAAGTGTTTTATATTATTATCTCTGAATGGGTTATCTATCTAGAAACCTCTGTTTTCATGTGATCTTCTATGCCCTATAAAACATGATACTTGGTCTATAATAATATGATATGTCAAGGGGTGAAGAAGGGTGAGTTTTGGATCAATTGGTAAAGTTACTCATTTGTCAAAGGAAAGTCATGCGTTTGAATCATGGAAGCTTCTTTGCAAAATGCACGCAAAAGGTTGTATACAAAGACTTCTCTTCCCAAGCCTCGCAAACCGATTAGCCTTGCTGCACAAGGATCACCCTTTATGCCAAGAGTTGAATTAAGTTACCATACAGTTTGTGCATACTAATGAGTTTGGTTCACATGGATATCCAAATGCTCCCAACCGACACCACTAGTAGCTTAACAAGATTAAAAAGTTAAATCATGCAAAGATTAATGATCCTTATTATTTAATATATTCTATGACTGAACCATAACTTAGGTTGGGATTTACATACTTTTTACGCCTCCATAATTTGACTCAGGGGCCGTCTACCTAAACAATTGGGTAAGTGCTGAGTGGGGTAAAAAGATCTGACTCAAGTAAGTGTTAACCAAAAACTACTGTTTACCTATATTATGTATCAAGTGCGTACGAATAAAAATAACGATTTTACCCCTTTGGCCCTCTGTTTGAATAAAATATTTCTTCTCTTTGTTTGGATGAATTGTTAACCACAAATTATTGTTTGCCAAATGTTTCTAAAATTATTTTTAAGTATTTTTTATGATTCTTTTTATATCACGTAATTATATTATTATTTAAGTTTAATATTATTATATTTATCATCAACTCAATATTACCAAGGCAAGAAGCAATAGTTAGAGAAGCCTCTCAAAATACAATTCCATCATGTAAACAGTGAGCTAATTTTACCTAACACCACCAAGCAGGGTATAACTGTGATGGCTGACTTTGATAAGAAGCTCCTCTGCCTTTTACCTGGGAAAGAGGACGGTCTGATGTAATATCATGGTAAGAGGCAAAAAAATGTTGGTAAACAACTCACTTCTTACCATGGTAAGAGCCTCTTATATGGTAAGAGGTGATAAGTAAACAGGCCTTCACTGTCATGTCTCTGACTCAAAGGGCTTAACTTTTCTTCATTATGAACATATATTATTTCTGATCAGTGTTGAGGTCATATTCTGGAACTTCTATATTTCCAGAATTTTCTTTTCAGACAGTCAAGCATTCGTATCATCTCCTGTTTATTAATCATAAAAAATATTCATTAACGTTATCCGTTTGTTGTTTTTAGGCGGTTTGTATTCTGGAGGAAGCGCTCAGATGGTTGAAAATTCGTTAGGCATTCATGGAGATGAGATATTGTATGTCGGTGATCATATCTATACAGATGTAAGCGTTTCTAAAGTACATCTTCGCTGGCGGACAGCACTGATTTGTCGAGAACTGGAAGAAGAGGTGAGCTATATAAATCAATTGCCATAAGTTCTGCAAGTTCCTGGGAGATAAAAAATAGGAAGGGTTTTGCCAAATACCATAAGATGTGTTATGTACTGTGTGGCAAGCAACAAGTCATTGGAAGGAAAGGAACTTTTTATGTTGCGAAATTGAATGGACTTCCATTTGCAGCCATAAATTAACTTCAATAATCGGGGACAACTATGTGATACAATCGATCCACCACACCTTAGTTTATCAAGATAAAAGATAGCTGTTCTTTTTCGTACTTGTTTCTTTTTTGGGTAAAGTATTGTCTGCTGATTATTATATGCTGCCGCAGTATAATGCTCTAATTCATAGTCGAGAGCATCGGGCTAGGCTTGTAGAACTGATAAATCAGAAGGAGGTCGTCGGCGATCTCTTTAATCAACTCCGTCTGGCTCTACAAAGGAGAAACAAGAGTCGTCCTGCTCAAGTAATTATCTCATTAAATAGTCTGTAACTGTGTCATGTAACTGCCGACTTCTTTTATGTTATCTGGACTGGTACTAGCCTCTGAAACATCTTTCTAGTTCAATTCATATGCAGAGGCATAATTTTTGTCAAATTTTTTCTTCATTTATACTAATATTTTAAAAAATTATCACCACTGGCTCTTTTCTTTACTTAAAAATATCTCCTTAATCTTGACACTGCTTTAAAGATCTATGGGATAAATTCCCCATCCCTGCTGTTACTAGTTATGCCATTGATATTATCCTTGGTTATATTAGGCATGAAGTTACTTTCTTGCTACTGTTCATTTTTCCATCTTTCCAAGTTTTTTTTTTACTATATGTACATATCATTTTCAGTGACAATGCCATACACCTTGAGAAATTGTAATATGTTTCATGTCATGCCATCACCTCTATGTTTTGTCGACTTCAATAATCCTTTTGCTTCAACAAGCCTTGCTGAAGCTTCTTGGACCTTTACCACCACCTCTGTGCTCAGATGAGTTTTGTATTCTTTAGCAACTTTCAGAAAGTCCAGGGGTCATTTGATGTTAGAAGGAGAAAAGAGAAATCACCTGATGGACGGATGGTGATTTGCCCCGACCTGGTGGGGAACCCGGTTCACCGGACCCGAACGGGGACGGGGATTCCCCGCTAAAACGGGTCCCGGGGCCCGGGATCCCCGGTAGACACAAACCGGGGACGGGGCCGGGGATGGTACTCAAACCGGGGACGGGGCCGGGGATCCCCGGTAGAATCAAAATAAAGGATACTATTTACGGGGTTTGACCGGGGATTGCTAGAGATTTGACCGGGGACCGGGGCCGGGGGACGTTACTACAAACCGGGGCCGGGGATTACAAAACCCGCCTCATCCCCGCCCCGTTGCCATCATGCCACCCAGGCTTGTTGTTAAGGAGCTAGTATCTGGTGTTGAGGAAGAGTCTTGCTATGCCACGAGGATAAAGTGATCTGATGGGCGGGTTCTCCTTTTGCTTGATGACCACTAGAAAAGTGTGCTTTAAGTAGCCCACCAAGTGTGATGTAATGATGGGTTGGCTCACTTCTTTGGCTTGGTCTGTGGTGTGGAGGAGTCTCCTTGTGAAGTCCATTAGAATTGAGCATGTAATGTGTTGACCCACTCAGTTTGTGTAGTTTGGCTTGCTGGACTCATCAAAATATGTGGATATGGATCTTGGTTTGGCTTGTTGGACTCAGTTTGAGCCCTTGGGTGTGTAGCTAAGTTGGCAAAGGGCGGAGCAACTTTGCTCAAACACACCACAGATTCAAGTTTGAATCCTGCGGGAGACGTGCTTGAGCCCCTCTGCTAGCCTCAGGCACTGATCGGCTATGAAATGCCTCCTCACATGTGGTTTCTGGGGGACGGGTTCCATGTGGGGCCGATCGGGGTTGCCGGTAATCAATCTTTGCTCAAATATGTATCTTGTTTGAGTTTATATAGATCTCTTTTTTTCTGGCACATGTTTTTCTTTCAACTTTAGGTTGGATGTGGAAGTGACATTAGATTTAAGTTTGATCTTCTTGTCGTTTGGAGTTGTGCACGCCACGGAATATTATTTTTAGCTATATGAAAACATACATCACTCTTTTCTTTAGTGTTTTGGTTGTCTCCAAGCCTTTTTTACTGTATATATCAGACGATGTTTTGTTAACACTACTATGCATCTGCAGTAAACCCTATTTGTTTCAACTGCTATGCACTTACTTTAGAACTTTGTGTACGATCAATTTGTACTTAACTTTGTTCTCAACTCTTCTTGCTTAACTCAACTGAGTATTTCTTCTAAACAACCGTTGGTATTTATTTCTCCAAAATCAGTAGCAAGCATATTGTTGTCTTTAAAATCAACATGTAAGAATATAATTTTTGTTTACTGAAATTACGAATGAACTTCTCCTTTTCTCTAGTTCCCATATGATGTATTATTATTATTATTATTATTATTGTTGTTGTTGTCATTTATAGTGTTAAACCTGGTGCATATGGTTGGAAATAAGATCATGTGATTTATCCGTTTGTAGTGGATAGGTCATGGGCTACATTTGTTCATTGCATGTGTACACAATAAATATGTACAGTCTGGGATCTCGTTTATCAGTCTTCTCATTTGTCCTTGTCGATACTTCTTTTCCATTCTTGTATGCTTGTAATTGTTCCCAAAGTATTTATGCTTGAGTGTTTCTTGAAAGGCAATAATATTAAAAACAGGGAAGAACCCAAAACAAAACACCGGAGAGATCCACATTCTGCAAGGGGCAGAATGCAAGGAAGAACAAACAAACCACTACAACAAACCTAGAAACCAGAAAGAGCAAACGATACAAAACAAAAGCATGACCAAAACACGAGCTAGACTGACATTAAGACATTTATGCTTGAGCGTTTGGAAGTCCAAACCAGATGTTGTCTCTAATTTCTAGTTTAATCTGCTGTTATTCTCACAATGTTATGCATATTTACCTTTTTCGCATACACATCATGTTAGGTCTATTCACTTTTGTGAAGAAGAGTTTTCTGTGTTACCAGTTGGGTTAGGTGCAATTGGAGAAAAATCCAACTAATATATAGTATTTTTCTCCATTTAATACTCACGCATGCGAAGATCCATGTGATGGCAACGACCAACTATTTTGTGTCTTATTTCCCTTTTTGTCTTTTTGTGCTGTTATGAACTTGTGAATACAGCGGTTTGATTTTTTTTAATCAGTTTATCGTGGTTCTTTGGACTGTGACATAACTTCCCATTCATCTTTTAGACCCTCGCTGCTACGCATATGGACGATAAAGAGCTCACGGAGAGTGTGCAAAAGCTACTCATTGTGATGCAACGGCTGGATGAAAAAATTGCTCCAATGTTGGAAGAGGATGGGGAACACTTCAGCAAAAGGTTAGCCATTGTCAAAACACTATCGATTCCACCACCTTATATATGAGTCCTGGGTGCCTTAGAAAGGTTCTTAGAATGACTGGTCATGGTTAAACTTGAGTTACTTTGGACAAGAATCAAAAGTTGTTATGTTAGATCACTTGTAATTTATGACCCAGCCACCAATAGACAATATCATTCAGAAAAAAAGAGTTACCAAGTGATATCATCTGAGTATAGGCTTGGTCTTTAATATCTTCTTACCTAGTTCTTTCCTGCCCAATTAGAATGTGATACTAACCATCAACATTATTCCTATAGGAAATGTCAGTTATGGTTTATTGGATTTTCTCCAAATAAAGTTGTATAAATTTATTGATATCTGAGCTTTGAACTTTACTCGACTGATGGATTGTTTGCTGTTAGGTGGGGTTATCTTTCTCGTGCAGGTTTGTGGGACAAGAGTCACCTGATGCGGCAAATAGAGAAGTACATGTTTCACTCTCTTTTATTTTCTTCCCAGAACTTAAAGAGTTAAATGTGCTGGATTTGTGACTGTTCATTTTCACTTGTTGATGCTCCAGGTATGCTGATATTTATACCTCCAGAGTGTCGAATTTTCTTCATTATACACCTTTCATGTATTTCCGTTCACAGGAACAGGTATTTGATCATATCGCTTTCTTAAACTGAATTACTAGAATCAAGAGTTGTGACATACATATAAGGTTGTGGGGTCAAAGAAATATTTTATGTAGTTATTGTCGTAGATAGATAAAAAGAGTTTTCCTAGCCTAGTAGCAAATATTGTTATTTATAACAATGACCTAGTTTCAAGAAAAACTGTTATTGGCAAAGGGACTCTTTCAACATACATAGGGATCATCAAAGAAACCCTAATAGACCAAAACACCGCAGCAGAAACCATAATCCATTATCATCTTATTTTTCTCTACCCTCCAACACCACATCTTGCACAACCTTGAAACTTTTTTTGGAGTCATCCATGACCGATTCATGAACCAATTATAGGTAACCATCCATCCTTCAGCATCATCCCATCAAAAACCAATAGACATCACCAGGATCTACTATATTAGACCATGGGTAGATATTCCTTCGAAATATGTTAGACTAATAGAAGAAGATGCGGGGCCCAAACAAAATCAGATTTAAAAAAAAAAAAAACTGAAAAGTTGTCTCAAATGTGGGTTTTCTAACTTGAAAGAATGAAAACAAATAATCAAGAAGTTCAAAGCAAGATAACCGCAATAAAGTTGTTTATGTAGGGATGAAATGTGATCCCAAAAACAAAGTCAGGATGCCATAGCCAAACTCTACTGTAATCTATCTACAATGATAACTAGATAGAAAAATTGTGTGTGTAGGTCTGTCAAGTGTCAATGATGTAATGGTCAAATTTAAGTAAATCTATGAAACGACATATCCGTATGTATACTCTCTGGAATTCATGCATCTAACGAGGAGCTCCAATGTTATTCTAACATCTTCTAAAATTTATTTTATGTCGCAGACGCTTGCTCATGATTCCTACTCATTTTACCAATCTTGATAGCAGCTCATGAGTTGATAAATTATGTGAGGCAAATAATATTGTGCCTCTGAGGTGAATGTTGTTGTTCTGTTAATTCTGGATGTTTAAACCTTACATGGGTATGGTAAAAACGTGTACATTTTAAGCCACAATTGCTGACAGGAGCAAAGAGTTTTGTGAAGGAGGTCCATCCGTCCTTCCAGTGTTGTAGTATATATATATATATATATACATACATACATACATATATATGTGTGTGTGTGTGTGAATCGGCAAACGCGTATGCTGTAATGGTACTGTTACCAACATTGGCATGGGTGTTGTAAGGTATACATATACTAGTGTATACTTGTTTTATAGATGGCATGGCTGTCCCAAAGTAATAAATACTACTCTTGATATCTCAAATAATAGTTGAAGCCCAAACTTGTTACATTTCTTCCTTTGCTTTGCTTTGCTTGGGTTGTATTGTATTTGCATGCATTGCACTCTTTGTTATTTGATTAGTATGAGAATAAGGTCGTGTTTACCGAATGTTTACCCGGTTAAGAGTCAAAACACTTTTATTTAACTTATTGGATAAGATTATTACTTTCATTAAAATGGAATTGTATGCAATGTTTTTATCCATTTAAGTGCTTACCGGATAAGAGTCGTCAGTCTCATTAACTAGCTAAGACTTTCGGTCCTTGTCATCGTTCCTACTAGCTAAGATTCTCAATCTTTGTCAAGTCTATCCGATAAGGTAAAATGATCTGATAAGTATTTATCTGTTAAGGGTTTGGTAAACAGGCGTTCAAACAAGAACATTAAAAAGGTTCATAAAATGCATCTTGGCCTTTTATTTAATCTAATCAACGGATGAGATAAATAATGACCGTAAGGTATAGACTATTAATAAATTTTAGCAGTGCTAAGAAGTTGAGGGGGGATTTCATCAAATTTAGACTTTTTTTAAACTATAACTTAGAGGTTGTTTACCAAACACTTACCGGGTAAGTGCTTACCGGCAAAATAACACTATCATTGACTTATCGGGTAAGATTTTAGTCCACCAAAACGATATCGTATGCAACAATTTATCCATGTAAGCGCTTACCGTGGTAAGAGTCGTCGCATTCACTTACCGGGTAAAACTCTTGATTTTTGTCTCGCTCTTACCGGGTAAGATTCTTAGTCCTTACCATATTTATCCGGTAAAGTAATGTGACTTGGTGTTTACTTACCCGAGTAAGCATTTGGTAAACGGCTCTTAATAAAATGTTTATCTATACTATCTTATAAAGTATTTGGCTAAAACTCTTAAAAACTCTTAAACCCGTTCATCCCTAAACAATTTCATCCTATATCTGAATTCGTGTAACTAACTGCAGATAAACACAATCAAATACAGGATAAACATCTCATTTTAAATATAAAAAATCTAAAATATAATTAGT